TTGAAGCATTTGGAGGTTGATCTGTGCCCTCAGGGTCACCTGAGTAGTGCAAGTGGTTCCTGTAGTCTGCAATTTTTTCCTCCGGAAATCCATTCCTTCTCCTACACAATTCAAAGGGTGTCCATCCCAAATTTGCATAGCTAAAAGTCTGTAGAGGTTCTCCTTCATCCAAGTCATGGTTGTCCCAAAGGTGCTTTTTTCAGGAGGCAACTGGACTTTCTTGTTTTTTTCCCTCTTGAAGACGTTTCACTTCTCATCCAAGAAGCTTCTTCAGCTCTGACTGGAGAGTGGGGAATGGAAGGATTTATATTTATACCTGCAAGGACACAGCTAAACCTCCAAGTGTTTCAACGATCTTCTAAAAAGACACAGATGACCAGCTATCTGCAAGGAGTATAAATCCTTCCATTGTTTTGGACACATAACCAAGTTTTGACACAGTCTTGAAACAGAGCCCTCCTCCCCGGGTTGTCACTGGCCCTGTTTTACGTGCTGTGTGAACACAACCAGGAAGATCTGAGCTATGGGGAGCCCAACTCAAAAGTCCAACACTGTTTTCAGCTCTAGAATACAGGCAGGGCTTGACTTACGACCACAACTGAGTTTAAAATTTCTGTTGCTAAACCAGACATGATTTTTACCCCATTTCGTGATCTTTCTTGCCATGGCTGTTAAGTGAACCCCTGTAGTTGTGAAGTTGTTGTTAAGTGAATCGGGTTTCCCCACTGAGTTGGCTTGTCAGAGGGCCACAAAAGGGAATTGCGCGACCTCGAGATACTGCAACCGTCATAAATATGAGTCAGTTGCCAAGTCTCTGAATTTTGACCCTGTGATCGTGGGAAATGCTGCAATGGTTGTAAGTGTGAAGAACGGTCATAATTCACTTTTTCAGTGCCACTGTAACTTAGAACGGTCAATAAATGAATTGTTGTAAGTTGAGGGCCACCAAAGGGCTGGAAAGAACTTTCTAGTCCAACCTTCTGCCCAAACAAGGTTGTTGTTGTGGTTCGCCAGCAGCAGGTGCGGATGGCTGAGGTCTTGGAGAGCAAGGACTCAGATGAGGGTCCTGCGTGTGATGCAGGGATGGGGCCAGGACCATCAGGGAGTGGAGTGCTGCCTTTGAAGATTGTGGAGGCTGGCAGCAGTGAGGAAGAGGTCCCCGAGGAGCCTGTGCCCAGTGTGTGTGCGTGCAGGGCTGCTCAAAGGAAAGAGCAGCTGCAGCAGTACAGGTGACTCAGAAGTAAGGCTGCAAGGTGATGGCCCCACCCTTAAGAGATAAAAGCCAGCTGAGAAACCAGAGTTCTTTGCAGGAAGCAAATAAGTTTTGCTCTCAAGCCTTGTGGATGTTCGGAATATCTTGGTTGGTGTTTGGAGACTCTCTGTGTTTGAAATATTTCTTAGTAACTTTATCTAGTGTTTTTGGTAGCCTTGCACAACCTTGGCAAGGCTCGTTCTTATCAGAGACAATTCGTTTGAAACAGCCCTTTAACAAGAAAGGAACAGAAATCGTTGAGAAACATTAAAAGGTTTTGCTGTTGCCTCCGTTTCGTGTTTGTTTCCTTGGAACAAGGTTTGGGTCAGAACAGTTGTCCAATCTTTGATTGAAAACCTCCAGCAATGGAGCACCCACAATTATAAGAGGCAAGCTATTCCATTATTATTTGCTTTCACCGTCAGGAAATTTCTCCTTAGTTTTAGGTTTGATCTTTCTTTAACAAGCTTCCAACCATTCTCCTTTTCCGGCCCTTAGTTTCTTTGGAAAATAAATCAACGCTCTCTTCCCTATGACAGTCCATCAAGCATTTGAAGATTGTATCAGATCTCTCCTAAACCTTCTCTTTGTTAGGCTAGACCTATCCAGTTCCCTTACGGGGACGCGGTGGCTCAGGGGCTAAGACATTGAGCTTGTCGATCAGAAAAGTCAGCAGTTCGGTGGTTCGAATCCCTAGCACCGCATAATGGAGTGAGTTCCCGTTACTTGTCCCAGCTTCTGCCAACCTAGCAGTTCAAAAGCATGTAAAGATGCAAGGGACCACTTTGGCGGGAAGGTAACCGCGTTCCGTGCGCCTTTGTCATTTAGCTGGAAACGACTAGCATGTATGTGCGAGGGGAACCTTTACCCTTTTTTATCCAGTTCCCTTAGCTTCACTTAGACTTATATACCGCTTTACAGCCCTCTCTAAGCGGTTTACAGAGTCAACATATTGCCCACAAAATTTGAGTCCTCATTTTACCCAACTTGGAAGGATGGAAGGATGAGTCAACCTTGAGCTTTGGTGAGATGTGAAGTGCCAAATTGCAGGCAGCCAGCAGGCAGCAGAAGCAGCCTGCAGTACTGCACTCTAACCACTGTGCTACCGTGGCTCGTCATCCTACAATTCAGTCTCCAGACCCTCATCATTTTGCTTGCTCTTCTTTGCACTCTTTCTTGGGACTCAGATTCCTTTGGGTATTAAGGTGACTAGAACAAATTTGTGGGTGGTCCAGTTCATGGTAGGCTGGCCAGTTGTTCAGTTTCATCTGATGATCAATCTTAATCAAAATAGAAGCTGGAAGGGACCTTGGAGGTTTTCTAGCCCAACAGCCTGCTCAAGTAGGAGATCCTATATCGTTTCAGATAAATGACTGTCCAATCTCTTCTTAAAAACCTTCCAGTGATGGAGGAACCACAACTTCTGGTGGCAAGCTGTTCCACTGGCTAATTGTCCTCACTGTTAGGAAGTTTCTCCTGAATTCCATGTTGCTTCTCTCCTGGATTAGTTGCCATCCATTGTTTCTTGTCCTGCCTGGAGAATAGGTTGACCCCCTCCTCTTTGTGACAGTCCCTCAAATACTGGAACACTTCTATCATGTCATCCCTGGTCCTTCTTTTCTCTAGACTAGACAAACCCAAATTCTGCAACCCTTCTTCATATGTTTTATCCTCCAGGCCTTTAATCATCTTAGTTGCTCTTCTTCGCACTTTTTCCAAAGTCTCAACATCTTTGCTCTAATGTGGTGAACAAAATTGGATGCAGTATTCCAGATGTGGCCTTACTAAGGCTTTATAAAGTGATACTAATGCTTCACCTGATCTTGATTCTGTGCCTCTGTTTATATAACCAAGGCTTATATTTGCTTTTTTGGCTGCTGCTGCACACAGCTGGCTCATATTTAAGTGATCGTCCAATAGGACTCCAAGGTCCCAGTCACAGGTATTGCATTTGATGGTTAACAGAGATTTCTTTATTAAATTGATCATTGTAGTTAACTCTCAGCCTCAGTTTTCATGCTTAGTAGAATGGGCTTGGATCCTGGAGACCACAGGGCCATCTGCTACAGGTAGAACTTGGCTGTTCTGCTCATATAAGTTTGCAAGATATGCCAAGGGTTCCCACCTCTAATGAAACTAAAACAGTTGGGATCAAGATATGCACCTCTTCCGTTGACTTAACAGTATATCCACTCACATATACAATTACCTTTACAACAACTCCTTTTTAGGATTTTAATCCCCTGGTTTCGTTGCATTGGATCAGCTAATCTTATTTATCAAATTCATCCTTTGATTGCAATTTAATGTGTTGTATGTTTTGTATCAGGATTCCAGCAATCACTCTAATTAAATCATGATTCTCAAGCCAAACTTCAAAAAGCTTCAAAGGATTTATTAGAGGCAACATACTGGCACTGTCCTGTATGAAGCTAACTCTGGCATACGTAATTTACAGTCACCTGTCACCCTGTCTGCCGCCTCCCCCACGGGTGTCTCATAAACCAGATTCTCCAATTGAGTACGTTCACAGGCTGGGTGTCATCATTCATGTTCTCCAATTAAATATATTCATGGGCAAAAGTATTTTAGTTACAATCTTTTAAAGATAAGAGTTGGAATGTGTGATGACCCGGAGTGTAACACAAATGTAACAAAATCCAAAATGTAACTAAATGTCCTTTAATGCCTCCAACTTGGCCCCACTGTTCAATAATTCTCAGTTGGAGATAAAACGTATTCAAAAATTGTCTTCAAAAGAAAGCAATACAGTCTGAACTTAATGAGCAGATAGAGGTAAAAAAAACAAAACTAAAACAAACTACAGTGAAGGAAATTTCACAATGGACCAGGATAAGTAATTAGGAAGTGCAAGGAGATTAACAAGGCACAGTCTGTTGGAAGGACGCCAACCAAGGTAACTTCAGCCCAAAATAACACACGCTTTGCTTCTGGCAATGCTGTGCTTTAATCGTCTCTCTTATGTACTATTCTCCCCAGCTGCAACCAATGAGGGGGATCATGGCCGCTTCCTCTCTCGTAAGCCAAGTTGTTGCCTTCTCCGTTCCTCCCTGCACGTCCTAGGATGCAGAGGGGATGGGTCTGGTTCTTCCTCTGACTGCCCAGCCGGCCTCTGCCCTTCCCCAGCCTCCTCCACAACCTCCGGAGCCACACCTCCACTCCCTGTCAGCTGATCCTCTTCTCCTTTAGAGTCCGACTCTACCAAGGGCATGACAGAATGTAATTTTACTTTCAAACTGCTGCACCGCTCTTTCATATTTCCTTCTTCCCTTCCCCCCCTTTTTTTAATGGCAACTACTAAAACAGGCATAGGAATGCTTTATGAGTTGACATTTTTCTCCTACCCCAAGTCACACAACGGGATGGCAGGGAAATCGTATAAAAGGAATAACAACGACCAAATAAAGCATTTAGCGAAATGGAAATGAAACTCTAAATGTTTGCTGGCTGAACGCTACAACCATCTCTTTTTATTAAATGTTGAGATGGTTAAATCCGCTAGTTATGCCTTGTTAATTCTGCCTCCTATGCAAAGTCCTGCAATATTTTTGTTTTATACTGTGCGGCTCCAATAGTTTCAGGCAATTTTATAAAAATCTTAAAATCGCTTTAACAAGCCTTGCACTCGTAGGGAAACACACACAATTTCAAAAGGACATGATTTGCTTGTACTGTGGAGATGCCCCAACATTTGACCCCACCTCCCGAAAAAAAGTGAATTCTTTACCTGTTTTGGTGAGTAAAAGATTATCCAGATGCCTGTCCCCAACTCCAAGTATATATGTGATCACACAATACCCAGCTGAAAATTAAAACAAAACAAAATTAGCATAGCTCTCTGCAAATGTTATAACTCCCGAAGATCAAAACCAAACTAAAGCAAGTTAGATTATTTTGTCAGAAACCTGTGGGGTCCTTGCTAGCATTGATAAAGATACCTAGTTGGGTTATGAAATGTCTGCAAGAAAACAAGCAAACTCAGAGTGCACCAAGGATCTCCAAGGGCCTTTGCTGGCACTGATTAGGTTACCTAGTTGGGTAATGAAACATCTTCAAGGAAACAACTAAACTCAGAGTGTATCCAATGTCTCTCATTCCATAATTTCTAACCCAAAACTTCATACAAACTGTTTCTCAAAATTCTTTTCACTACTCCTTGAGCAAAAATTGATCACTTCTGGGAAAAGGCTATTAGTAATCAACTCATTAAAGCAAAGAGTTTTTTTAGGAAACCCCTGCCTTCTCCGTTGCAGGCAGAACTATGGAAGTGTGCGCCAATGCTTACCGCAACTTTTCACATAGGTGTCCATGACTTCCGCGCTTATGCCGTGGGGCCCGGTTTCACTCGGGGCGTATTTCCGGAAGAAGTTCTGCAAAAGCGAGGCAGAAGAGTTTCAGGTCCTTGACTTACAACCACAATTAGGACTGGGACCCCCGTCGCTAAGCAATGTGGTTGTTAGGTGAGCCATGCCCAATTTGACGTAGGGACTAAGCAAAGGTTGCACATTGCGATCATGGGACCCAAGATGTTGCGACCGTGTCTTCTGACCTAGGCTTCCCCCCAAAAAGCACTAAGCAGACTCTTTGTCTCGGCAAAACCCCTTTTTATTGAATGAAGGTGAATTTCTTACATTCGCATTCAGGCAAAGGCCTGGCAAGCAGTCTTTCAAGGGTGCAATTAGGAGCACGGACCTTATCTAGCTGGAGAGCTGCCTAGTAAATATTTCCAAACGCAGTGCTGACAAGGAAGGACTCGGCACAGACTCTCTGAGATGCACAGACAGATCTTCACTCTGCTGCCACGAACGAATTGTTTCCTGCAAAAGTCCCTTCCCCTTTTGCTCCTCTTTTAATCCCTATGGGAGGGGCCATTCAACATCCACCTGTGGCTTTATTCCCAAGTCAACCCTTAGTTCCTAATTGTTCTTTTCTTTCGGCAGCTCTGCGCATGTGCAGGCTGGGAACCGGCTCCAGCTGCTCCCCCACCTCACTGATGTCCGACTCTGAAGGCAGCTGACCACTGTCAGAACTGCCCTGGCCCCTTCTCTGCCTCTGATGCAGAGCCCTCGTCTGAGCCTTCCTCAGACTCCAGGACTGGTCCATGTTCCTCCCCAACCCCTTCGCTGTCCGACTCTGCTGCTAGCTCCGCTAGCCGCCGGCGGGCAACAACACCATGGTAAATATATGTCATTTGCCAAATACCCAAATTTGGATCAGGTGACCGTGGAGACACTGCAAAGATTGTAAGCATAAGGACCGGTCATAAATCACATTTCTTTTCCAGGGTGCCATTGTAATTTCCAAAGGTCATTAAACTGGAACACCCGTCGCTAAGCAATGTGGTTGTTAGGTGAGCTGTATGAGAATGATCGTACATCAAAGACTGCCTGAATATTTTGGACCAGCACAAAATGAATCCCCCAAGATGATAAAAGGATCGTGGAGAAAACTCATCACCCTGTGCCAATGTTGCAGTTCTATTCATTGGTTCATTGATTGATTGATTGATTGATTGATTGATTCATTGATTGATTGATTGATTCATTCATTCATTGATTCATTCATTGATTCATTCAGATATTCAGATGGGCAAATATATATTCATACATATAGACAGACAGATAGACAGTCATAAAAGGTTTCAAGACTCAATGGTGAACTGGCCTCCAATATTTATATAGAAGCCAACCAATATATTGATGAGGATTCTCAATCATCCAGACAGAGTTGTCTGGAAGTTGCATCATGGCAACTGGACTACGTTTCTTCTTGGTTTGAAATGATTCATTACTTAAGAGCTCTGAGGGTACAGTGGTTACAACGTAGCATTGCAGGCCTACTCTGCCCATAGCCAGGAGTTCAATCCTGACAGGCTCATGTTTGACTCAGCCTTCCCTCCTTCGGAAGTCAAAAAAATGAGGACCCAGCTTGTTGGGGGCAATATGCTATAAACCACTTAGGGAAGGCAGTAAAGCAGTATGAAGCAGTATATAAGTCTAAGTGCTATTCCTTCCTTCCTTCCATCCTTCCTTCATTCCTTGATTTGCTCCCTCCTTCCCACTCTCCCTCCATCCTCTTTCTCTCCTTTCTTACTCCTGTTCTTTCTCTTTTCCTTCCTTCCTTCCTTCCCTCCCTCCCTCCCTCCCTCCCTTCCTTCCAAGTCGTGGTGACAGTGGTTAGAATGCAATATTGCAAGCTAACTCTGCCCACAGCTTGAAGGTCGATTCTGACAGGCTCAAGGTCAACTCAGCCTTCCATCCTTCCAAGGTTTGTAAAATGAGGACCCAAGTTGTTTGGGGGCAATACACTGACTTTGTAAACTGCCTAGCGAATGCTGTAAAACAGGGGTCCCCAACCACCGGGCCGCGGACCGGTACAGGTCCGTGGAACATTTCCTACCGGGCCGCCAGTTTGCTGGGTGCCGCCATCTTGTTTGATGAGAAAGTGCTTCCGGGTGAGCTTTTCCGGTTGGAAAGCGGTGTTTGGGTCCTGAAGGAATCCTCGCGCCTTACTTTCATCAAAGGGGGGGGGCTTCGAATGAAACTAAGGTGCGAGGATTCTTTCAGCACCCAAGGCAAGGCGAGCCGAGCGACCGTCCCGAAGCCGTCCCGAAGCGAAGCCCATCGACAAAGGTACAAAGGAGGAGTTGAAGGTGGCGGGGAGAAGCGGGGGACGGCTGGCTGTCCAGTCCCTCGGCTCGCCTTGCCTTGTCATACGTGCTGATGCCAGTACCGGGCCATGGTTCATTTTGTGATGCCAGTACCAGGCTGTGGTACAAAAAAAGTTGGGGGCCACTGCTGTAAAACACTATGGGGAGGTACATGTTAAGATGTCTATGGAGATTCTCAGTCATCCAGGTCATGGTTGTCCCAAAGGTACTTTTTTTTCAAGAGGCAACTGGACTTTTTTGTTTAAATTTGAAAATGTTTCACTTCTCATCCAAGAAGCTTCTTCAGCTCTGACTGGATGGTGGGGAACGGAAGGATTTATACTCCTTGCAGACAGCTGGTCATTTGCATTCTTTTAGCAGGTTGTTGAGGCCACTTGGAGGTTTTGCTGTGTCCTCGGGGGTCACCTGAGTGGTGGAAATAACTACCCTGAAGACACAGATAAACCTCTAAGTGGCCTCAAGGGCTCTCTAAAAGGATCCAAATGACCAGTTGTCTGCAAGGAGTATAAATCCTTCCATTCCCCACCATCCAGTCAGAGCTGAAGAAGCTTCTAGGGTGAGAAGCGAAATGTCTTCAAAAGAAAAAGAAAAACAAGAAAATCCAGTTGCCTCCTGAAAAAGTAAATTTGGGACAACTGTGATCTGGATGATTGAGAATCACCATAAACTATCAAATTAAGCAATGACCAGTCAGGCCAACTGAATATATTCTTTTAAGCATTAGTATTTAGTGTTTAGCTTACAAACAGCAGAATGCAAAGGAAAGATTTAAAATCAGTGTTTTTGGAAGACGTTACAGTTTCAGGTGCAGAAACTGTGTAATTACAGGGAAGGTTAAATGCTTCCAAATGCAGACATATTCCCTTCTGTGCCTGGATTGCAAAATTTAAATAGCATTAGCAATTCAAAGCAATGCTGAATTAAGATACAAGATGTGAATGGCAAAACATACATTAATGGCATTTTTTCTAAAATCATGAGAAAAAGGAAAGAGTCTCCAGGCTCACAGTTGCAAATTCAGCTTTGAGTCAGCCTAAAATATGATAAAGTAAAGATAAAGTAGACAAGTTGGAGCCAGTTTAGTCTAGTGGTTAAGATGCCAGGTTAGAAAGTGGAAGACCATGCGTTCTAGTTCTGCTTTAGGCAATGAAATCGGATTGGATGAATTTGTGCCAATCACCAGGAGACTGGGAGTTCTAGTCCCACCTAAAGCATGAA